AGTCAGGTGTTGAGGGAAAGGTGCGGGAGGGCAGGACAAGGGCATCAGACGCTGGCAAAGTTCCATCCAGGGCACCTGCTGGTCAGCTGACACGCAGGTTTGCAGGGGGCGTGCGCACGTCATACCGGCACCGGCCGCCGCCTCGACAGGCTCGGCTCCCCATCAAACTCACCGCCATCGTCGTCGCTGGGGCCCTCGGATGACGAGCTCGCCCCTCCGCGCTGCCAGTTCCAGAGGCCAAGGGATCGCAGCTCCGCACGCACCCCCCGCACTCGGCCCTTCTTGGCCCCAGCCCCCTCATCAGTCGCAGGAGGGGATGCGATCGCCGGCGAGGTGGCGGTCTGCGTGGGATTTCAAAGGGGTTTGTTGGCCGTCATGCAAGGGCTTGCGTGGGTGGGCCGAGGGATTGTGTAGAGGAGCGCAGGGGCGTCATCCGGGTCGATGCCCTCCATGGCACACGGCCTCGCAGGCTACCTTGCCGGTGTGCAGGAGGGATACGCGGACGTGCCGGGGCAGGGGGCCCACCTCGGCATTGCCCTTCAGCTGCGCGCCCTTGAGCAGGCCTGGGCGGGTGGAAGGGGGCAGGGGAGGGGTTTCGTGTGATTTCCACATCATCAGCCCCGCCTCAGCAGAGGCCTCACCTACCAGCCATGTGAGCGCCCGGAAACCACCTGCGTGCCCCATCCACATCGCCGTCCGCAGAGCCACGTTCGATGGCAACGCTCGATCGCCGTGGCGCACCTGCCCTCCCCAGCAGCTCGTAGTGGTGCTTGAACCATGCCAGCAGCAGCTCGTCCTGCTGAGCGCTCCGTGCCTCAAGCGCCCTTTCCTCCTTCTGCAGCCCGGGGGCGCTCGCTGCGGTGCCGAGATAGCAGTCGATATCGGGGGTGGATAAGGAGACGGCGAGTACGTGGTCCCAGCTGGTTTCCCCACTGTTCACCCCACCCACGGAACATAGAACATATGGAACGGAGGGATGAAGCAGCCTGTCCACCCTATGGCCAGTGTTCCTCGGCCAACAGCCGGGCTGGCGAGGCCTTCCAGTGCAAGCGCTGCGCCCGCTGCGCCCAGTCCGCTGACCTCCCGCCCAAACCCTGGCCCCCTCCACCTTCCGAGTCGGAGGGCGGGGCGTCCTGGAAGCGCGTGCCGCGCGGCGTGGGGCCCGGGCGCGGACGCTTGAGGCGCTGCCTCCCGGCGTCGGGCGAGGCCGCGGTGTCAGCGGCGGCCGCCGCGCGGCGCTCCCGGGACGCCTGCGTCGCGCTGCCGCCGGCGGTGTTGCCGCCGGAGGAGCGGGCGCCCCCCAGGCGGGAGCGGGCCTGGGACGAGGAGCCGGCGCCCGGCCGGCGCGGCTGGGGGACCGTGCCAGCGGTCAGGGTGGGGCCGGGCGTCAGGGCGCCGGCGCCCCCGCCCCCGCTGCTCTCGCCCCGCTCGCCGCGCGGCGCCCAGGCGCCGTCCCGGCTCTTGATGTACTTCCAGGCCCTGTGGAGGGGATGGTGAGAGGGGAATGTATGAGTGCAGGGAGGCAGGGTGACAATGAAATGCACAGGGGCCTGGCCTGGTGGTTGGGGCTGGGGCGTGCACTTGCAAGAGCATGTTGATCAGAGGCTCGAGAGACGATAGCCTCGACTGGTGGCCTGGGAAGAGCAGGAAGAACTCGATGCCAGCCAAGAAGTTGACAAGTGCAACTCAGCCAGCCCCTCAGGCAGCACCCGAGTCTCAAGGGCTGGCATTTCCCACCCCTCCAGCACATGCCTGGAAGCGAGGCTCCCCCTCCAGATGCGCGAGCTCCTCTTGTCTATCCACTGCCGCAGCGCGGGTGTCTGCTTGGTGGCTGCAGCGAGGGCCAAGAGCATTGACGAGCTGAGTGAATGCAGAAGACACCAGCACCGCAACATGATTCCTCGGACCCCAGGAACAGCTGCATCAGCTTGTAATGTAGTGTAAGAGTTCACCTGGGAAGAGGACGTAGAGCTCCGTCGTGCTGTGGTTCAGGATGTGGGCTTGGTACCAGACATTGGAATTTGCCTGAGGTGGGGTGGTGGGAGTGGGTCAGCCATGTCAGGGGGATTGGCTCGACGTGCAAGGCTGTGCCTGGGGTGACTTGGAAGTGGGGCCTGCCACGTAATCTCTACTTCAAGTGCCGGGAGATCATGAGAACCCAGTACCCTCGTCAGCTTGGGGTTGTGAAGCCTCTGCCATGCGTTCACACCGTCCCACCTGCATCTCCAGCATCGGCTTGTCGACATGGTTCAGAAAGGGCGGCAACTCCCAGGTCTCGTCTTCCTGCTGCACCGCAAAGGATGTTGCCTGGCAATTTGGAAGAAGTGGTGGGGGCGTGTCAGAGGGATACTCCAAAGATGATGCCAGAGTGAACCCCCCCAGCCTGCGCCTCCCAGCCAGAAGCCTCGCAGCTCCACTCACATGCATGTATACGGGTGTGTCCTCCTCAGACCCATCAGATGCTGTGTCTCCCCTTGACTCCTTAGCGCTATGAGCTGGGGAGGCAGGCCCCCGGCTCTCCACTGCTGGGAGGGGGGCCTTCACCTCACCTCCCTCCTCAGTCACCATCCGATCTGTCATGCACGCGCCATGCTGAACGACGAGGGGCCAGCCCTGCGTCCCCAGGCACGAAGGAGGGCGCACCTCGCGACCTGTGAGGTTGAGGATGAACCCTGGTGGCAAAACCTGCTGCGGTGTACCCTTCAACAACCGTGCGATGTTGCTGCCCGGGGGCTCGGTAACGCGCTTTACGAGATTAATTCTAGATCTCGAATTCTTGCAGAATACAAGTGCATGGGATGAAATGCCCCCAAGCCCCATCCGTCACCCTTTCAGCCACGCTTACCCACCGGGTGCAGCCTGTCGGTGTCACGATTGAGAGTCTCGGTTCCGCACTTCAACGAGCCCAGGATTCCATTAGCTGATCATACGTTGATCAATTGGTTCTGTACATCAGCGAGTACGTTGGTATGTTGGCGAGAACTTTCGAATTCCGAGCGCGCGTGATCAACAATTGACGGGACTGACGGGACCGTCTAGGTTTTCCCCGTCTGCACACACGGTGATTGTTAGACAAGCATGCTGTTCCCCTGGGAGCTCTGGTTCCTCTTGCCACATGAGAACATGCCGTTCACCAATGCTTTCTTCTCCCACGAAACATCATTTTACACGGCTTGGACTCCCAACATGCCAGGATCTATTGGGCCCATCCGCTCGACATTCTCCTGGCTGCACAGAGCAATCAAGCGTTCAGGGGCTGGCACCCCCCGGCTCGCCAAACAAGTTGCTCAGCGCCCGATCCCGCTGCCACGAGCTTGGTTTCCTGGGGGTATGGAGGTGACCCCGGGGCACTCTGTTGTCCTGCAGGCGGTGCGAGGAGATGCAGCGCGGCGGCAACTCCCAGGTCTCGTCTTCCTGCTGCACCGCAAAGGATGTTGCCTGGCAATTTGGAAGAAGTGGTGGGGGCGTGTCAGAGGGATACTCCAAAGATGATGCCAGAGTGAACCCCCCCAGCCTGCGCCTCCCAGCCAGAAGCCTCGCAGCTCCACTCACATGCATGTATACGGGTGTGTCCTCCTCAGACCCATCAGATGCTGTGTCTCCCCTTGACTCCTTAGCGCTATGAGCTGGGGAGGCAGGCCCCCGGCTCTCCACTGCTGGGAGGGGGGCCTTCACCTCACCTCCCTCCTCAGTCACCATCCGATCTGTCAGGCACGCGCCATGCTGAACGACGAGGGGCCAGCCCTGCGTCCCCAGGCACGAAGGAGGGCGCACCTCGCGACCTGTGAGGTTGAGGATGAACCCTGGTGGCAAAACCTGCTGCGGTGTACCCTTCAACAACCGTGCGATGTTGCTGCCCGGGGGCTCGGTAACGCGCTTTACGAGATTAATTCTAGATCTCGAATTCTTGCAGAATACAAGTGCATGGGATGAAATGCCCCCAAGCCCCATCCGTCACCCTTTCAGCCACGCTTACCCACCGGGTGCAGCCTGTCGGTGTCACGATTGAGAGTCTCGGTTCCGCACTTCAACGAGCCCAGGATTCCATTAGCTGATCATACGTTGATCAATTGGTTCTGTACATCAGCGAGTACGTTGGTATGTTGGCGAGAACTTTCGAATTCCGAGCGCGCGTGATCAACAATTGACGGGACTGACGGGACCGTCTAGGTTTTCCCCGTCTGCACACACGGTGATTGTTAGACAAGCATGCTGTTCCCCTGGGAGCTCTGGTTCCTCTTGCCACATGAGAACATGCCGTTCACCAATGCTTTCTTCTCCCACGAAACATCATTTTACACGGCTTGGACTCCCAACATGCCAGGATCTATTGGGCCCATCCGCTCGACATTCTCCTGGCTGCACAGAGCAATCAAGCGTTCAGGGGCTGGCACCCCCCGGCTCGCCAAACAAGTTGCTCAGCGCCCGATCCCGCTGCCACGAGCTTGGTTTCCTGGGGGTATGGAGGTGACCCCGGGGCACTCTGTTGTCCTGCAGGCGGTGCGAGGAGATGCAGCGCGCAGAGCACGGCAGGGTGAGCTGGGCGCCCCCCCCCCCCCCGCGCGCCTCACTTGAGGTTGCGCGCCATCTTCGCGGCGTCCGCTTCGTCCTGGGCGCTCTGCGCCACCAGCGGCGCGTTCAAAGAAAGCTCCGAGTCCTGCATCGCACGGTCCTCGGGCACGGCGTCCAGCGACCCCGGCGCCACGGCGCCGGCCGGCGTCGCCCTGCCCGGGGTGCTCGTGGCCGAGGTCCCCGCCTGCCGCGGGTGTTGCACACTGATTTCTTGAGGCGAGGCACCGACGTCCGGATCGCTCTCCCCACGGTCGCGAGGAGACGCGTGGCCCGGCGGTGAAGTTGAACTCCCCGCCCGGCCCCCCCCCCTCGCCCTCCTCCTCCTCATCCACGACAAAGAGGGCGTCGGCGCCAGAGTGCGCGCTCCCCGCCCAGGTCTCAGATCCCTCGGCGCCCAGCGACCCCGAGCGGTGCGGACCCCGCCGGCCCACGGCCAGCGGCGCCGCGGCGGCGCGGCCGTCGTCGCCCGCCGCCGCCGCGCGGTCAAACGCGCTGGCCAGCCCCGACGGCGACGCGTCCCCCGCCGCCGCGGCACGCGCGCTGGAGAAGGGCGAGCTGCGCGAGATGGTGGGCCGCGCCGGCGGGCGCGGCGCCGGCACCTGCGGCGGCGTGCCAAAGCGCGTGCGCAGCGGGGGCCCATGCGCGCCGGGGCTCAGGGGCCCCGGGCCCCGCCCCGGGGACGCCAGCGGGTCGGCCTCCGGGTCCTGCCCGCCGCCGTCGGCGCCGAAGAAGCGCGGCAGGCCCGGGCGCAGGCTGCGTGCCGGCAGCAGCGACATGCTCGCGATCTCGGCGGCGTAGCGGTGCAGGTCCATGGGCAGGATGGTGTAGTCGCTGGCCTCCACGGCGCCAGGCCCCAGCCGGCTGGGCATGCGCGACAGCTGCGTGGAGAGCAGGGACACAGGGGGGGCGGGATGGGAGTTTGAGCCGGGCAGCGCAGGGCACAGCGAATGCCCAAGGAGAGAGCTGGTCCCCGGGCAACAGGGGTGCCTGTGCATATGTGAGCGCAGGACGCACACGACGCCGCCCGGGGGGGACGCTGCCTGACTGGCCCAGCGGCATCTGCCAAGTTTGGTCAGATTCTGCCCCGCTCCCCTCAACCTCCCCCACCGAAAGGGAGGTGACCCCCCTCGGTCCCAGCGCACCATCTCCGAGACGTCGGCGGCGATGCGTCGCTCCTCCTCGCCCCCCGCCGCGTGCGCCGCCTGCGCCCGCCGGGGCGCGTGCGACTCGGGCGCCCTCACCGTCGCGGCTGCTCGTGTGCGGGTGGGCGGGGTGGGTGATGTGAGAATGAGGTTTGTTGCAGGCCCTGTGCGCCAGAACAAGCAGGCCTTGAACCGCCGGCTGCCTCTGGTGCAAGCGGACTGCCGCATGGGGAGCCCATGTGCATGTCAACGATCGCCGCTGCAGCATCATCTCCTGCCGTCAGCCTGTGCCC